GCTTCCACACCTCTTGTCCCATCCATGCGCGCTACATGCCCAGCCCATCTCATTCTTCTCGCCTTAATCACCCTGACAATATTGGGGGAGGAGTACAGATTTTTAAGCTCGTCATTATGCAGTTTTCTCCACGCCCCATCGTCTTCTCTCCTAGGCCCAAATACCCTCCTCAACACCCGATTCTCAAGCACCTGCAATCTGTGTTCCTCCCTCTGAGCGTGAGTCCATGTTTCGCATCCATACAAAACAACAGGCGAAATTATATCATATGGTTCTAATTCACTTCGCAAAGAAACAGCTTCACACTCAATTCGCTTCTGATCGTGTCTTTAAATCGTCTGTTTCAACCACGAGCAGTCATCGCATTCGAAGGCGTTTGATATCACGCGTAATTTTATAACATACGCCGCTGTAATACGTGTTCATCCTTTATAACAGGAATACTCTACCTATGGCCCGCAAACCGGATGCGGCCCGCTGTATCTCATGTGCCCATTTTGCCATTTTAACGTATCAGAAGGCAATTTACGACAGGGTCGTTCTTAGTTTTACGGAAAATTATCACGTCATTATGTGGTTTCGATGTGTTTGATTTTCTTCAGCTGTGAGTTTGTTTGATATGGTTCTGGTATTAACTATGGTCAGTAAGCTGACAGTGGCATAGTAACGTCAGTGGTGAGTTACGTCAGATGAAAATGTGATTGCTGAAATCTATGAATAAATAAATGTTTCTACGTCTGATACCTAGTTTAGAAATGACGAGTTAGTTTATCAATTCTTCATTAAATCGCAATACTTAGTGTAGACACCAATTTTTTTTTAAAAGTTTCCGAGAGAAAACGTACGAGCTCGACTCTGTTCCGAAGTACGAGGAAACGAGGTGTCTATGTAGCGTCTGTTACAACGCCGAGTACACAACGCCAACACTAGATGTCAGTGTTTCTTCCAGTGCGCATAGTCAAAGCTTTTGTGTTTTTTTCTGTAAAAAGCTTGTTCTTAATCTGTAGCAAAAATACAGTTCGAAGGAAAAGAAAACTGCAGGGGAGATGTGAGACGCGAAAAGAATGGCGCATTTAACAACAGAATATCTTCAAAAAGCAATCCAATAACACATTTTCTCCACTCGGAGCAAATTCTCGTGTTGCCCACTTGGCAAATCTTTTTTCGATAAGAAATTTGTAACACAAAGTGCACAGCGCGTAGCACGGGGGCTCCGCCCTTAAATAATAGGATTCTAATTGCTGTCAGTTTGTCTCAAGCAACGATGACGCGGCGAGTTCAAGATGGTACAATGATCAGAAGAAACTGGACAATGCGACTTCTTCGACAAATAGATTATTCTGGTTCAAGGTGATTGTACTGCAAAAGATGTGGCTTTGGTTCAAGGTGATTGTTCTGTGAGTGCTATAGTACAAGATAAGCCTTACAAGTGTGGAGTGTGTGGTAAGAGTTACTTGAAACCTGGTCTTTTGGTGGCACATAATCGAACCCACACTGGTGAGAAACCCTTCAATTGTAACTTCTGTAGTAAGAGCTTTTCGCGACGGGATAATCTTATATCTCATTCTCGAATTCATAGTAGCGAAAAACCTTACAAGTGTGAAGTATGTTCTAGAGGGTTTTTCCGCAATTCAAATCTTTTAATTCATGCTCGTATTCACACTGGAGACAGACCTTACAAATGTGATGTATGTGGTAAGGGCTTTACTCAGCCCCGCCACCTTCTAAATCATTCGAGAATACACACTGGAGATAAACCATTTAAATGTGACGTGTGCAGTAAAGGATTCATAACTCGCGACAAACTCGTTGCCCACAATCGAAAACACACTGGTGATAAGCCGTTTAAGTGTGAAGTATGTACTAAAAGTTTCACTCTTCGTGGTGTACTCGTAGCCCATATGCGAATCCATAATGCTGACAAACCTTTCAAGTGTGAATTCTGCAACAAGAGATTTGGTAGGCTTGATAATCTTGTGCCTCACATTAGTACGCATACTGGAGAGAAGGCGTATAAATGTGAAGTTTGCCCTAAAAGTTTTGCTCGTAAAGGTCACCTTATGGTTCATAATCGAATACACACGGGATATCGTCCTTATAAATGTGACTATTGTTGTAAAAGTTACACAGTAAGAAGGGACCTTGATGCTCATGTTCGGACGCACACCGGAGATAGGCCATATAAATGTGATGAGTGTGGTAAGGGATTTACACAGCGAGGGGCACTTGGGGTGCATATCCGCTCCCATACTGGTGAGCGACCCTTCAAGTGTGATATATGCCATAAGGGATTTACAGTTCGTGGGCATCTTCTGGCCCACACTCGTACTCGCCATTCTTAAACTTTTTTTTATGTATGCTAGGAAACTGTCTACTGATTGAGTTAATCTATCCTCAGAAATATCATTATTCCAGGATCTTGAATACATGGAACACATGATATTTTTATTTGGCATGTCTGAGAGTGTCTATTTTGTAATTTCTTCCCTCTCTTGACACAAAAGATATTTGTTTTTAATCTCTTACCTTGTTATTGTTAATTTACAGTCAACTTTATGTTAAGTGTTTTGCATCATTCCCTTGGTACAGTGCTCCCATTGACAGAACAACTGTAATTTCCTGGCTCTTGATAAGAACTGTTTGATTCACTTCCAAGCATTACAAAATTATCCTGCTGTGATTCAAGTATTTCTCTTTTAAAACAATCAAATAAACTTACCTGTGTTATAATACTGTCCCTATACAAGCAGAGTCAAACAAGGGTCAATTTCATACATGAGCTGATTCCAAATCCAGCTGTAGAAATTAATCCTGCTAACTGAGTCATGTGGCTGTAAAGCATGAAATACTGTTACCTAGCATGGACACAGTTTAAGCAATTTTGTTGCTTTAACTGTTGACAGTTTTGAGATGCTGCTCTCTTATGCAAGGCGTCTTACTGATTACTATCGTGTTTTCTAACCTCTCCCAGTTTCTCTATTTCTTATTCAGTGGTGGTCTAGCGGTTAGAACGCTGGGCTTGTAATCCTGGGGTCTCGGGTTCGCTTCCCGGCGGTGCCCGCATTTATAACTTGTGTTGGGCAAGGCCGTGGTCTAGGCAACCCGGAGTTTTCCTCCGTGGCATCCCAACAATTACTCCATTCACACACAGAAGAAGGCAATGGCAAACCACTTCTGGATCATCTGCCAAGAACGTATATGAACAGGTCCCAGTCCGAGAAAAGGATGGAAGGAACCTGTTCATATGGACCTGTCGTCAGACAGAACACTAAATAATAATAATAATAAATAATAAAGTCAAAAGACTAGTCACCGTAGTGTTCAGCTTCTGCATTGAACAACACAAACAAGCAAAGGTTTTTAAGACGGTCATCAACAGTCATTTTGAAATCGGAAGTTAAACTTAGAAACAAAAGGTTTGTCAGACAGTCGCAGTTCTTGTTTCGTCAACAGAATTCAATTCGGGGGCACAGCCCACTCAGAGCAGGGACCTTCCGAGGCTATTACATTTGGTCGGAGTCGATGGACAGCGGATTGGCCCATCGGTTTCCTTGTACGGCAAATCCTAGGTCCAACGCGTCTTGGGATGCGTTAGTCGACGGGCTCGCGTCTGGTGACTCTGGGTTGGACGAACTCAAATTTTGCGTGGGATTAAAGGAATTTACTATAATCACGTTCATAACAAGACACAGATAAAACAGCGACAATTCAACATGTCATCATTTCTCCAGTGCACTGCGTTGAAATTCGCCGGAATCACAACACAGAGGTCACCACTGGACACCGTCAATTCTTTTCCTAGTTCGTTTTCCATTGCTGTCTTTTAGAAAATTAGTTGTCACCATAGAAACAATAATTCGACAAATGTCACGCGTATCCATGGAATTACTATTATCTGAAATGCATTTATTATTGTATTTGTGTTATATAAAATTCATCTTTGAGGGCTCCGTTGAAGATTTAGAATTGCAGAACGCGGCTACTTTGACTTTGTACGTCCATTGCAGTATTTTAAGCTGTATTCTGTGTAGTTATGGTAGCTGTAGAAAGTGGAAATTTGCTTGGACGTTTCAACATCATCTACGACACACTCGATCAAGGGCGAGAATTGGTGTCTGTTCGCGGACTCACGTGACATCGTAGACAGATTTAAAGATTACTTTAGTGGGTTAATAAACGTTCACGTACATGCAGCAGAGCCCTTCAATGATGTTGAGATTGCCATTGGGAAATTAAAACATTATAAATCTCCAGGAATCGACTCAATTCCAGCTGAAATAATTCATGCAGGCGGTAGAACACAGCACTCAGAGATACGAGCTTAAGTCTCGATTTGGAACCAGGAAGTACTACCACAACAGCGGAAAGAAATCGATTGTTTTCCCTATCCATAAAACAGAGGGAAAAACTGAGTGTAGTAACTTTCGAGATTTCCCTCTTTTGTCGACGTCGTACAAAATTTGCTTCTCGCACCTTTAACGTCATTTATGGATCAGACTATCGAAGACAATCCATGTGGATTCCGTCGTAATACGTCAACTTTATTTGTATATATCTATAAGTTGATATAATTGCGTCATATTGTAAATTAAAGTTTAATTATTCGTGTTTTTTTCCGTCTAATCACAATTGTATATAAATAAAATTATACATAAGATAT